AAATTTTATGGACAAATTACTTTTTTATTGTTGAACTCATAATGTTTATAATTAATTTTTAATTTTCTTTCTATTAATATAATTAATTCTTAAAATTAATAGGTTTTAATAAACTTTCGGCATTGTAACGACATACTTTTCTTATTATCCAAAAATTCAAACCTGTAAAAAACAGCTTTTAAAAGATTTTGGCACACCATAACTGCAAGATGTGCCACTTAAAACAATTATCAAAACTTTAATCTCAACCTAAATCAAATTATAATCTTACAATTTCAACAATCTAAAAATTCATAATCTAAAATTTAATTTATAATCCAAATTTCAAATTACATACTAATTCTAAAATCTATAAATCAAACTTCAAGATTTATAATCCATAATTGTATACAATTCAAATAACAAAAACTCATACATTTTAAACTAAAAAATACAATAATTATAAAAAAAACTTACAAAATTCAAACCCACTGAAATGGGGGTTGAAAACGGTAAGATAAACAAGAGCAAAATGCAGCGGTGACGGAGGACTTCGACGGCGGCGGAGTTTGACGGCGATATTTTGGGATTTTTTGGATGAAAAACAAATAAAACTTATAATATTGTTGATTTTGAAGAGAATACAAGGAGATTTTGAGAGTTAGGGATGAGAAAACGAGAGAAAACTGGTGAGAGGCCGAGAGAGAGAGAGAAGCTGATCGGACAAAAAGGAGGAGGAGGCTCTGCTCATGGGCATATAACAGAGTTTTTTACGACGACAGAAAGAATATTTGCGACGACTAGTCATCGCAAATATAACTTAAACTTATTTGCGATGACACCTACATTATTTGTGACGAAACATGTTGTAGGAAGAAGGTTCTGGAATTATTATTTGTGATGATACCTATAATGTCGTTGCAAATAATTTTTGGGAACCCGCCCAATTTTCCTGCTTTTTATTTTACTGAGGGAATACAAAATCACTTATTGTGACGACACACATTAATGTCATCACAAAAAAATTTTGTCACCCGCCAAAATAATCCTGTTTGCTCGGGGGAAAATAAATAAATTAAATTTTATTTGCAACGACACATGTCGTCGCAAATAATTCACTAGTTACGACGACACATGTCGTTGTAAATAATATTATTTTGACGCTAAAAGTTCGCACCATACAAGATCTGCCCCGAAGCAAATATTTCTGATGACGTGTGTCTTTTTTAGCGACGACAATATTTTTAGTTTTACCAAAATATTTGTGACGATATGTCACCGTAAATAGTTAATTATTTATGATGACAAATGTCGTCGCAAATAGCCCAAATTGTAGTACTGCATGTTAGCGCCAGATTAGTTCTAGTGCCAATAAATATTGGCGACGACATGTCATCGTAAATATGAAAAGGTTCTTTTCCAAGGTTCAGAAATATGACAAATATCGTTGCTAATATGACAAATATCGTTGCTAATAATGTCGCTAATAGCGTTTTTTGTTGTAGTGACTTAACGGTTATACCACATTTGATATCTACTATAAAGTGTAGAGTTCAAATTTCTCACCTACCTTAAGTAAAAAAAAAAAAAAAAAAAAAAAGAAAATGTGCATTCAAATCTAGTTTTAATAACCGATAAGTTGCAGGAAATATTTTTGTATGGGTCACCACCACTTTGCTGACAGTTACAATGCTAATTATTAAGGGTTGCCATGAAATATTTAAATAGACCTAGTAAAGCAACCTGTTAGTAATGAAAATAAATAGTGTTATATTTTATAACTTATTGTTAAGTGAGCTTATTTAAATGTTATTTTTTATTCTTTTGGAGTTACTTTTAGAGAGATTCTTTAGTACACTAGTGTATCGGTAAGCTAAATTTTTTTTACCGTTACATCTGTGTACTTTTTGACTTTTACGTGATTTTATACAAATTTAACGGTTACAAAATCAAACCTACCAATATGTTAGCGTATCAGAAAAAATCTTTTATTTGTAAAGTAGTATTTAATGTTTTCATAAGCGACAAATTTATTTGAATTTATTCATACATGTATGTGAATCTTTTTAGATGAATTATAAAGATAATATTATATAGAAGTTCTTTACCAAAAAAATTAAAGGGGAATGAAATTATGCACATTTTTAGTGAGTATTGGTTTTTTTAACAAGTTTTTTAGAGTTTTTTTTTTTTTTTTTTCCCTTTCAGTGTCTGCTAAACACTTATTATCGAACAAGAAATAGAAAAAAAGAAACGAGGAGCATAATATTAACTTATAGAGACCGATATTTACATTTTAGAAAAAAAAAAAAAAAAAAGTTCCCGTTTCTTTTTTTTCGTCCAATAATTTTTTTTTTCTTTTTTCTTCCTGTTTTGTTCCTTAGAATCTGTACATGCATAATTTTTCTCTCTCCTATATATATTATTATATCTTCATTTTAAAATGCGTACCACCATAATGTTTTGTGCACATGAATTGTTGGACAAAAGATGGGATCAAATAATCGAAATTGTGGCATAGATTTTATTGCAAAGTATCAAAATAGCCAACCGCTTTGATTATTGTGTGCAATTAAGGACTTAACATATATGTGTATTTCGCCCATCGATAGTTGATTCTTCTTGTGGTACATTTTAAAAATTGTAGTTATAAGTTGATTCGCAAGTTTGGTGTCTATCTATACCACTAGTATTATGTCCTTTCAATCTAATGAATTCGGATGAAAAAACTACGGGCAAAATTAAAATTAAGAAAAAGGTTTTGTTTTTTAATTTTTTAAGTGATGTAACATAATTCAAATAATTAATTTTTTTATTACATAAAAATTAAAAGTAAAAAGAAATTATAGACATAATTTAACGGTAATACCACATTTGATATCTACTCTAAATTGTAGAGTTTAAATTTCCCACCCATCTTAAGGAAAAAATAAATAAATAAATAAAATGTGCGTTCGAATCTAGTTTTAATAACCGATAAGTTGGAGGAAATATTTTTGTATGGGTCACCATCACTTTGTTGGCAGTTGCAATACTAATTATTAAGTGTTGCCATGCAATATTTAAATAGACCTAGTGAAGCAGCGTGTTAGTAATGAAAATAAATAGTGTTATGTTTTATAAGTTATTGTTAAGTGCGCTAATTTCGATGTAATTTTTATTCTTTTGGAGTTAGTTTTAGAGAGATTCTCTAGTACACCAGTGTACTGATAAGTCAAATTATTTTGACCGTTTGATCTGCACACTTTTTAACTTTTATGTAATTTTATACAAATTTAACGGCCAGAATACCTAACCTATCAATATGTTGACGTACTAAAAAATGTCTCTTGTTTTTAAAGTATTATTTAGTGTTTTTATAAGTGATAAATTTATTTTAATTTATTCATACATGTATGTGAATCTTTTTAGGTGACTTATAAAGATAATATTATATAGTAGTGCTTTACCAAAAAAAATTAAAGGGGAATAAAATTATGCACATTTTTAGTGTGTATTGTGTTTTTTTAACAAATAAGTTATTTTAATAAGGAAAAGTGGTTTTTTTTTTTCCTTTCAGTGTAAGCTAAACACTTATTATCTAACAAGGAATAGAAAAAAAAAACGTGGAGCATAATATTAACTTATTGAGACCGATATTTATATTTTAGGAAAAAAAAAAAGAAAAAGAGTTCCTGGTTTCCTTTTTTTCGTCGTTCAATAATTTTTCTTTTTCTTTTTCTTTTTCTTTTTTCTTCCTGTTTTTTTCCTTAAAATCTGTACATTCATAATTTTTCTCTCTCCTATAATATTATTATATCTTCATTTTAAAATGTGTACCACCAAAATATTTTTCTTCTAATTTATCCCCATTGCGTAATAATTTCTTTGAAATATATTCTCAAATGTTCTTTTACATTTTCTAAAATATTTTTTTATCGAATGTGACTTGTGTGCTTCATTTCCATATTAACAAAACACAAATTTTGCTTGAAATGTGCATTGCGGCCACACATCAAACCTAGTGCTGGAACTACGAGCGGTAGGTCTGTCTGAAGCCCATAAATTTTCAGTCTCGGCGGGCGGACATCTAAGTTCTAGACCGGGCTCGGGCTCAGGCAGCCTGAAAATCAACCAGAAAAGAACCCGCCGCCGTTGCAAGCCCATTGCCCGCCCGAAATGCCCGCCCAATTGTCCACCGAGTGGCCCACCCGAATGCATACCTGAGTAAAGTGTTTGATTTAGTACAAATTTAAAAATTAATAAACAAAACTAATTCTTTGAATTGTTTTAATAGTGTGTTGATTTTAATCTTAATTATAATTTTTATATAATTTTTACAGTAAATAACTGAATAATTATTTATATACAAATACAATTAATAAACAATATTATATATAATATATATACACAATATTATACAAAACTAAAAATTATATAAATATATAAATATATTTATTTTTCAAGCTTTTTCGGGCGGACTCGGGCTGACCGATCGATCCCGAGCAGCCAAGACAAGGCCCACGGCCCGTCCAAAGTAAATGTCAGGGTCAGGCAGGGCGGGTTTGAGTACTGAGTACAAATTTAGTTTTTTCAGACAGTCATAGGCGGCCGTCTAAAGTTCCCGCTTGACTCAAACCTACGAGGATTGCCGCTTTTATAATGTTATAGACATAGACATGCATTCCTCTATGTATGTATGTATATATATATATAATATATATACATATATATATATATATATATATATATACACACACACACATATTTGTGTGGTAGTAGCTTTCATAGAAGTTGGAAAAAAGCATCGAAAATGACCAATTAATGGCTCCATTGGACAGTCGTGTGTACTCATAATAATAATACAAGAGGTTCTCCTTTTAAAAAGGCAAAAAGAAAAAAGAAAAAAATAAATAAAAATAATATTGGTCCCAGCATACATGACTTGTTTCTTCTAAGAGGGAAGGAGAGTAGCCATTAATTCTAAGTCGCCATCTATATAAGAGATCCAACCTTATGATCACATTACTTGGAAAGGAAAAAACATCTTATCTTGTGGAAGGGATAAATAATTAGCTTTAAAAGCCCGAATACATCCCAATTACGTTGACACTGTTAAGCTTTCAATATTTCCAATTAGGCAAGTCCCAACACAAAATAATATTACATATATAGTTTGGTTACAAAAAGCTGAAGAAGAATGTGGAAGATTAAGTATGGAACGGGTGCGGAAGATCCATATTTGTTCAGCACAAACAACTTCTTGGGAAGACAGATATTCGAGTTCGATCCGACCGCAGGAACGCCGGAAGAGCAAGCACAAGTTGAGGAGGCTCGCCTGAATTTCTACAGAAACCGTCACAAGGTCAAGCCCTGCAGTGACCACATATGGCGTCTTCAGGTATATATGTGTGTGTGTACGCTCATCAAACTTATTACAGTGAACCAATACAAAATGTAAAGGAAGCAGTTTAATTTTGTTGTAACATTCCGATTCATTTCTCTAAAACCACTGCTTTGAAATTTAAAGTAGAGAGGCTAGCTATACTGGTGATGTGTACATTTTTGTACAAATGATTTGTTAGTAAGCAAAACCTATTCATGATATTCTATCTATGTCACACCAAAATCAAATATTTGAGGAATACTTTATTCTTTGATATATGTATTGGTTATTTTACGATATGTACCTCCCACGAAATTATAAAAAAAAAAAGGAATTATTCAACTATTGGGTACAGAAATCAAGGATATTCAAATTATTATTGACAAAATGCAGATGTTAAGAGAGAAAAACTTCAAACAAACAATTCCAAAAGTGAAAATTGAGGACGGCATGGAAATCACATACGAAGCAGCAGATGCCTCGATGAAGAGGTCGATTAACTTCTGGTCGGCTCTGCAGTCACCACACGGCCATTGGCCGGCGCAAAATGCTGGCGTTATGTTCTACATTCCTCCCATGGTACCGACTACTTTCAATCAACTTAATACTATAATGACCTTAATTCAATCAAGTAATTACTCATGCAACAATTGTCTTAATTAATCTATTTTCTCACGTGAACAAATTAATTAAATGCAAATATGCAGGTGTTTTGCTTGTACATCTCGGGTACTTTAGACAGTGTGTTAAACGAGCATCACAAGAGAGAAATGTTGTGGTACATGTATTGTCACCAAAATGAAGATGGAGGGTGGGGATTACACATCGAGGGTCCGAGCATGATGATGTGCACGGTGCAAAACTACCTCGCCATGCGCATTCTCGGAGAAGGCCCCGATGGTGGCCTTGACAACGCCTGCGCTAGAGCTCGCAAGTGGATTCTTGACAATGGCGGTGCAATGGGCTCCGGCTCTTGGGGAAAGACTTGGATGGCGGTACGTCTATAAATTTGTACATATTGTTATCTTCATTATGTGACAAACTGATCAACAAAGTTCAAAATAAAATGAAAATAAAACTAAAGTCCTAAGTGCTAACGAATATTACTAATAATAATACACAACTCAGGATGTTAATTCAAAAAAAAAATCAAATTATTGTGGTGGCAAATTACACTACTTTACTATGTATCTAACAAATTGAGAATTAATTAAGACTAATGATCGAATTTAATGATTTATGTTCTGTATCAATTACAGATTCTTGGTGTGTACGACTGGGATGGATGCAACCCAATGCCACCAGAGTTTTGGTTCTACCCCTCAATAGTACCACTTCATCCATGTAATAATAATTATCATCTATATATATATATATATGTTCATTTTATATTTTTGAACATTTTATGTTTCTTTATAACATAGTTAGTGTTGTTAATACCTCTCATATTAATGATATGAAAAAAATTTTGAATGAAAATTGCAGCAAAAATGTACTGCCATTGTCGATTGACGTTCATGCCAATGTCATACTTTTATGGGAGAAAGTTTGTTGGTCCAATCACACCTCTCATTGTGCAATTGAGAGGAGAAATCTACAATGAACCTTACAAACAAATCAAGTGGAGCAAAATGCGCCATGTTTGCGCTAAGGTTGATAACTACTATCCCCATGGTAGAGGACAACGTCTCTTGTGGGACAGTGTCTATTACATTGGCGAGTCTGTTATCAATACTTGGCCCTTTAACATGATAAGAGAGAGAGCAATTCAGAAAGCAATAGAACATATTCATTACGAGGACGAAAATAGTCGATATATCACAATTGGATGTGTTGAGAAAGTAAGTAATATTAACGCTCCTCCATTCACACTTTAAAATTTTAAGTTTTCACGTGATGGATATATAATTACCTATATTTTAAGCATAATTTATAATTCGAGTTCAATTTCTCATGTAGCCCTTGATGATGCTTGCTTGCTGGGCGGAAGATCCTAATGGAGAAGCTTTCAAGAAGCATATTCCAAGGGTTGCAGATTACTTATGGGTAGCCGAAGATGGAATCACTTTGCAAGTCAGTGAACTCATAAAACTATATTTTATAACTAGTATTTTATAACAAGTCAGTAAACTCATAAACTCACAGAGGATATGCTTTCCAAATCTGTGTAGAGTTATGGAAGTCAATTGTGGGACTGTAGTCTCACCGTTCAAGCTCTACTTGCTGGCAACATAAATGAGGAAATCGCGCCCGTACTGAACAAGGCACACCAGTTCCTAAAGTTGACTCAAGTTAGGGAGGATCTTCCGGACCATTTAAACCATTTTCGGCATATTTCTAAAGGAGCGTGGACTTTCTCCGACCGTGATCATGGATGGCAAGTTTCTGATTGTACCGCAGAAGGTCTAAAGGTAATAAAATAAACACATATCAATACCTAAAACGACATTACATAATATATTTGTCTCAATGACGTTTGTTTGTTGTAAATGTTTTGCCAGTGTTGCCTCTTATTCCAAATGTTGCCACCCCATCTTGTCGGCGAGCCTATGATAGCAGAGCACATGTATGATTCTGTTAACGTTATACTTTCTCTGCAGGTGAGAATAAAAAAAAAAAGGATTTTTTATTTTTTATTTTTGGTTTTAACTAGTTCGCAGTAAGCAGCTCTGCACTTATTATTTAGTATTGTCGTTTTGATCTCCTCTGTAAACATAAAAACAGAATCCAAATGGAGGTGTGTCAGGTTGGGAGCCAACCGGAGCACCAAAATGGTTGGAGGTAATAATACTAAAAACTTATTTCTCCCAAATAATAACTGAATCTTACACTTGTATCTCAATTATTATTAAGAAAATTTTTTTTTTCTTCCCCGTGTAGTGGCTAAATCCTGTAGAGTTTTTGGAGGACCTCGTTATTGAATATGAGTGAGTAAAATAATTCTTAAGTGAATCCTTTCAATTATTCTAATTAGCTCCAATACTTTTCATCAGCTATATATATATATATATCTAATGGAATTGGATAGACATGACGACGTGGTACTTAATTAAATGATGATGTCCATATATATATATATATATATATGCAGGTATATGGAGTGCACATCCTCCGCAATCCAAGCGTTGAATTTGTTTAGGAAGTTACATCCAGAACATAGAAGAAAAGAGATTGATAATTTCATAACCAATGGTGCTGACTACATTGAAGACGTACAAATGCCGGATGGATCTTGGTACGGAAATTGGGGAATTTGCTTCTTCTACGGCACATGGTTTGCTATTACTGGCTTGGAGGCTGCCGATAGGCACTACTACAACTGTGAGGCTGTCCGTAGAGGCGTTCAATTCTTGCTCCAAACACAGAGAGACGACGGCGGTTGGGCAGAGAGCTACACTTCTTGTACAAATAAGGTTGCCAAATATTGCTTTCTTTCGCTTGTACTAATTATAATTGCTACCTTTTTCTTAATTCTTATTTTTTTATTTTCATAGAAACTAACAATATCGAATTATTTCTACTCTTCTGGTGATTTGGTGATCGTGCAGGTGTATACACCTTTTGAAGGAGATCACTCAAATTTGGTGCAGACTGCTCTAGCATTGATGGGCTTGATCCATGGTAGACAGGTAATTAGTAAATTGTTTCAACAAATATGTAAGACTAATTGACGTACGTACGTACATACGTACGTATTCCTCATCATCTATAATTGTATAAATACATGGTCCTCTAATACTAATGTTCTTTAATATATATACACATTATGTAACATGTAATAGGCTGAGAGAGACCCCACTCCAATTCACAGAGCTGCAAAACTACTGATCAACTCTCAATTGGAAGATGGCGATTTCCCCCAACAGGTACCAATCTAATCTAACTTTGTGCAACAAAAAGGAAAAAAAAAATAATTAGAGTAATTTATAAGCTATAAGAAAAGAAAGTTAAAAGAGGGTTAATGAATCAACATTTCTGAAAGAATTAATGATGGTTTATTGTACAGTACACATAAAAAAATTCTAATATTTTTGGTGTAGAGATCTCGTGAGTATATAAATAAAATTAGTCTTGCCTCAAAAATGTACTCTAGAATTGTGAATCTTTATTGATCGTTTGTCAAATTTTATGACGGCAGGAACTTATGGGCGTTTATATGAGGAACTGTATGTTGCATTACGCAGCATATCGGAATATCTTCCCTCTTTGGGCTCTTGCCGAATATCGGAATTTGGTGCCGTTGCCTTCTAAATGAAGAAGAAAGTCAGAGCAAGTTTAGTTATAGTGAATATAATTAAGCAAAAATAGAGACGTGTCTTTATTTATTTTTTCGTTTGGAGTACTTATTAGGTTTGCCAAGCTTCATCTATATCTATATGAAAAAAATAAAACAGAAAAGAACAAATAAAAAGCTTCATCTCTAGCATCTTTCTTGTATGATACATTATGGTGAAAAATTCAACAACAAAAATATATAAATAAAGGATTTATTTATAATACTGCTAATTCGACTTTTTCTTACTTCTGGTGTCCCATCACTAGAAAGTACTGTTAACAATATATAGTTATAAAAATTCTCACTCTACTTCATATTATACTGTTAATATATATATATTTTTTTTTTGAAGAATATTGATACATTGTGTTTAATGCGAATTTGATTTTAAAAGTTTTAGATAAATTAAAATTCGCACTACTTTTATGGAAAATAATCTAAAAAACGTAGAGAAATTTACAAAATAATAATATATCTTTTCACATTCATTTACTCCCTGCCGACTTGAGTGAGCACTCTCGACAACTTGACTGTCAATTGATGAAATAATTCGTTTAAGTGAATCATACATAGGATAAAATAAAAGATTATCATAAAATTTAAAAATGACTGGAGTTTGTAAATATTCCATATATATGGCTCAATGTGGTTGTGTAATGACATTTTTGACCTTCATAATTATATTTAACTTTTTATGAGTTACGGGTTTTTGTTATCATTAATATTAAAGTAAAGACAAAGTCATTATATATTAATATCATTCAAATAAAAATAATTGGCAAAGTGTGAAGTCTGATAGCTGTACAGTTAAGCAAATGTAATTTTTCTATATGCCCGTATAACATCGTTTGTACATGTTTTTAACGCTCAGCTTGTTTAAGTGTGACACTCATTGTTACATGTATTGGACTATATTTATTGAATGTTATACACATACGAACAGTGTGTTATACAGGCATGCGAAAAAGTCACAAGTGCCTGATTGGTTCGTGTATTGAACTTAAACACAATTCCAAAGATAGTATTTAAAAATAGGAAAAATAGACAGAAAACAACGTGAGTAAAATAAAAATAATATTATTATACAATGTAGGATTGAACATCAATTGAAAAGAGAGAGTTTGGTTGGTATGGACCGAAACTTTATTTCTGAAAGTTGAGCCAACTTTTTGCGTGTTCAGTGAGCTTTCAACCGTGCCAGATCGTTTTTTAGCGGTCGACTTATGGAGCTTCTCAATTTCAGTAACATATAAGGGTGTAAAAATCTCAAGATGAGAACTTACTTGGACCAGCGACAGTAGAGAGAACAACAAATATTGGAGGGTCGATGAAGCTGTTGTTAGGGGCCAGCGGCGTCAGTTTCTTCTTCATTTGTTCTTTCTGTTGCATCGTTACTAGAGTTCCTAAACTATCACTTTCTTAAACCCTCAAAACTACGTGTTTCCGTCTCTCTCGAAATAGTCACGCCTCACCTTCTCTTGTCGTCACCATCGCGCCTCACCTTCTCGTTGCCGTGTGTAATACTCGAGAAATTTATGAGTATAAATCTTGAAGTTAATCAAGATTTAGATGATAAATTTTTTAGCATCTTTTTAATACATATCGATGTATTTTGTGGTGAGATACATGACTTATGTCACACTTTTGTCGAATTTCAATATTGATACATAACTACTGAATTACGTTATGTATGAGTTACAATTTTGGATAATGAGGATTTCCAGGATTTCCAGCAAAACCTATATGAATGCAAATAAGGGAATTAATTTCTATAACGCATGAAATGACAGCGGAAATTCACAAATTTCCATTTATAATAAAAAGGTTTGTATAGTCACATTAATTTAATTAAAAAAAAAATTCCAGTAACTACATCAAAATAAGTATCCCAGCTTCCTTTTATTAGACTATGAAGATGAAGTAACATGTCAGTCCCTGATCATGTAGGAAACAGATAAAAACAAAGAAAACCGAAATCTCAACTCTATGATAGTCCATAACACTATTCAATGAAGTTCATAAGCTAGCTTACCAACAACAGAAGATATTTTATTTGTTTGAGAAAGAAGAATCAAATCTAGTAACTCTACTAGTTATTTGTGGAAGCCGCTTTGTTTCCCTCAATTCACGGAACCATTTACACACAAATATCCAAGATTCAAGAGACTCTAATTAACGAAAGGTTACTGCTTTCTTTTAGTGATAAACGTTGCATGAGTTTAAAAATAAAGAGCATAACGCCTAGAAATTGAGTGCCCTGTAGTATATTAGACTTAAAGCTTAATAAGTAACAAAGGAAGAAATAGCTATATATATCAAAGTTATCAAGATTTTCTATGAATATAAAAAACAAGGGTTACTGGTTCAAGCTCAAATAACAATCATCTGAATAGCCAATAGACTAGTAGTAGTGCATTGAAGTAAAAAGTGTCAAATACACCAAAATCATATAAGAAGAAGAGTTCACTGAGAATCGGTTTAGCCTTTAGGAAATGTACTTTGTCGTTTGCAAAAAAATTACGTGGCTCATTCTGGGGTGAAAAACGTGCGAACCGTTTCGCACCTCCCCTAAAAAACGCATTATTCTTTTTAAAAAGGTAAAAGATATTGTTTTGAGTCTTTAGATGTTGTCCTTTTCTTTTCATGTCCTTTTGATATCAGTTTCACTTTCCAAATTTTATCAGGCTTTTGTTTTTAAAGACTTTTTATGATATTTACTCTTTTTTAAGAACATCAGTATTTTTTACTTATCAACCATCAGATCTGTATTAAAATTGTGAAAAAATTAAAAAATAAACTAAACTCAAAATTACATGATATTCCCATATAAAATGAATATCATAGTTGAAAATCTTACAAAAATATATAAAGACTGATATATATAACAAGTAATCTGTTGTAAAAAACAATGATTAAAATGATTATGCTACAGAATAAGAAGTTATTATTATTATTATTATCAATGCGCTCTTTCGTCTCGTTTATTGAAAATGATGAAAGCACAAATTTCAACATAAATTACATGTAACCTATAAAAACCGTGATAAGGGAGTCTTCTGGACTTTCTCCAATGACAAAATACTTACAATCTCCAACGACAAAATTGAAGCATTGAAGCATAATGTTATACAATTATATGGAGTCTTCTGCACTTTCCCGTATTGTCGCTTCTATTAAAATCAAGAACTGCTGAATATGCCGACTACAGTAAGGAGTCGTCTGCAACAACAACAACAACAACAAAAATTGCAATTTCCACATTCAACCATAGTGAAGTCCACATGCCGACGGCTCTTTCACGAATCTTTCTCTTCAAAATTTTTTTGACGAATCCTGAATATTTTAGAGCTAATGATATAACCATCAAAAATTGAATTGCAAAATAAGAATTTTTAAGAAAAAATTTAACCACGTACCCTTTGGTGGGAGGCTCTTTCACGTTGGAATTCATCTGTATTCTTTTGAAAAATTAGGGCACAGTAAATTTTAGAAGACAATATATTTTTCAATGACAGGTTGTGTAATGAGTATTTTCTTAAAATATCATTGTCCTTAAAAGTAATTATATTAATGGATATTTTAGTCACATTAAAAAGGGTATGTGAAAATAAAAAAAGAGCAGGAGTATTGCTCTAAAGTTAAAAAGTAACTTTTAAAATCAAATTTGCTTTAAACACAACGTATCAATTTTCTTCAAAAAAAAAATATATATATATATATATATTAGCAGTGTAACATGAAAGTTACAAAGAGCAGGAGTATTGCTCTATCATGCTCTTCTCATGTTAAATCTAACTCGTGCTTTGAGTATTGTCAGAAAAGAAAACCTAATATCCTGTCTATGATTCCCGAGCTTTTCGCATTTTCCAAGCAGGATATCTCACTCCATTAACAGCTCCCACAGCCAATAGACCATAAACGGCCTGTCTTGCACTTGAAACCATAACTTTCTGCTTCAAAATCCTCTGCATGCATTTCGCAGCCTCTTCTCTAGAGCTAACCGTAAATTGTCAATTCTGTTTGGGACTCACTACAAGCAAAGCTATCATGCGAAAAAAAAATGATATTTTTTTCCACACAAAAAAAAAAAAAAAAAAAAAAAAAAAAAAGAAGAAGGCGACTTAAAAACTACCCTTTTTTTTTATAAACATAAGTTTTTGAAGCGAGTCAGGACGAATCTTTATCTACTTTGATCTTTATTATCTTTATCTTTCTGTTACAAGAATCACAAGTCAACAACTGCTTCAGAAACCATTTCTTCTGTGAAACAAACTGCATGTATACTATTAGAATAGCTGATTCCAGCTGTTTCCAATACCTTGCTGAATTCCACTATCTCGAGGACGTCTCCCTGATTCCACTACCTCCAGCATGTTCTCTTTGTCGTTTTATTATTTTGTTACTCCTTTCTCTCTCCTTTCTGTTATGCCTTAGTGTACGTTGTTATTCTGTTTATAGGCTATATAATGCCTGGTAGTAATCAATACAATATTAAGCAGTGTTCATTTTCATTCCGTTTCTTAGCTCTCCTGCTTCTTTTCTAATATGGTATCAGAGCACCTTCCTTCCGCTAATTAGAGTTGTTGATTCATGGCGCGTGGCGGTGGTCAGCAAAACCAGCAAAACCGTTTCAATCCCTTGTCTACTTCTCCTCCGGAGGCAGCCTCTGCTTCAAGGTCGGTCAGCACCATGGATGACACAAACAGTCCATTCTTCCTCCATAGTGGAGACAATCCTGGGCTGATTCTGGTTTCTCATCCCTTGACCGGATCCAACTACAACACTTGGAGGAGATCAATGCTCATGGCCCTCAACGCCAAGAACAAAGTTGGATTTGTGGACGGTACCTTGCTGAGACCATTTGCGGGTAATTTAACCTTCAATTTTTTTTCCAGATCCAATAGTATGGTCGCCTCTTGGTTGCTTAACTCAGTTTCAAAGGAAATAAGAGATAGCCTTCTTTACCTTGATAGTGCTAGGGATATATGGATCGATTTGTACGATCGATTCCACCAGAACAATGCACTGCGGATTTTCCAGATCAAGAAACTTTTGCTTGGCCTGTCTCAAGGATCTCTTGACGTTAACACCTACTACACGCGCCTCAAGATTCTTTAGGATGAGCTCAAAGATTTTCAGCCCATACCGGTTTGCAGCTGTGGTGGAATGAAGAGTTTGATGGAGT